CATGATATGTCATGCATCGAGACCTGCGGCCGGATAATATTCTGTCGAATTCTGAATTACAGCGGGCCCTAATCATTGACTTTCATCGGTGCGCACTGGATCGCCAACTAGTTGAAAAGCGCATGGCCACCCTCAAGAGATCACTGTGCCGGATTGAGGCGCCGGATCCAAAACGACTCCGCGTGATATGACCTCTAAATAGTTTTGATTTATTTATAATCTCCTATTGGCGCGGCAGATTTCTGCAGGCTTGCGGCTATTGGTTGTTCCTAGCCGCCCACTGCTAACTCCGCTTCTAACTGGGGCAAGCGTTTGTTCTCTCAGACCCTTATTGAATGAAAAAGACCATTTGAAGATGCAAAACGCTACTGGCCATTTCAGGAAACAACAAAGATGCGTGGGAGAGAGAAATTAGTGTATTCTGATTTTGTCTCGTTATGCTCTTTAAGTTAAAAATTTTATACACTGATAAGTTAAGACTACGAACTGGCACGTGGACCATGTTATTCACAGAATTATGGCTGACCACGCGGGAAAAAGAACCGTATGGGCCCAGAATGTAGCTCTGTTTTCAACTAATCTGTCTAGCTCTAGGGTAGCGAGGGGAATAGTTAACTACCTAGGTGGGTTAGAGATTACCCTAACGTGTGTGGCAGCCCAAGCCACAAGGAATAGCTAACCACATAGTAGACCATAAATTTAAGTAAAAAATACAAAAACTATATGGTACTGTCTACCGTAAGGGATAGCTAACTGTATGGTGTGGGTAACCATAAGGGTTTGTTAACTGTATGGTAGACCACGATGTTTAGAAATACTGCAAACCCTGTGGTATAGTTTGTTCTATGATATGGGCAACCGTAGGGGGCGGCTGGCCACATAGTACACCACAATTTTCTTAAAAATACTGCAAACTATATGGTATAGTTCACCATGCGGGATAGTTAACCATATAGTAGGCCATAGTATGGATAAAACATGGCAAACCATAAGGGATAGCTAACCATCTGGCGTAGGTAACCATAAGGGTTCTGTCAGCCAAAACGTGATATGTTTCATACGTGTCAGCCAAAACGTGTTACGTCTCAGACGAACAACCCCGCACCGAGTATGACCAATAAAAAGAACACCGCTTGAAAGCCACGATATGCCTATCAGGGGTCCATGATGTATATAAAGAGAGAAGAATTTTACCTAGATAGACGAGGGGACAAGAAGGACAATGGGAGATGAGATTACAGAATTGGAAAACCCATTGAGCCTAGAGAATCCTTGACAGGTTCGTTGACTGTATGGTAGACCACGATTTTTAGAAAAACTAGCAAACCATGTGGTATACTTTGCCCTATGGTGTGGGCAACCATAGGAGGCTGCTGACCATACAGTAGACCATAATTTAATAAAAATATAGCAAACCATATGGTAAAACTCACCATATATGATAGTTAACCACATGGTATGCCATAACATGGTAGAAAAGTGCTCAACCCTATGGTGTGGGTAACCGTAAGTAGTTGGTAACCGTATGGTAGACCACAGTTTTAATAGCATGGGCATGATTGTGATAGAGCAGTCAGCAAAACGTGGTACCTTAGGGTGAGGCATTCCCTAAGGTTTGGATTCCCCTCTGGTTGGCGTCATTAGGAAATCGCCTTAAGGCTGAAGAGGGTCCCTTAAAGTACCCTACTCTGTATAAAGACCACTCAAGCAAGAGCCCAAGCGCCCTCTGTTGGCAGGTCTCTCATTGGCTCTTTTCAAGCCACCTTTGCAAAATGCCTGTTGGGACCCGCAGCGATCCTTAACAAGTAAAACACTGCCAGGGTGTGCTTGGGCCATTGCATTGTCAAACCTCATTGCAAATGCAGTTGGTGACTTTTACAGGGTGACACGTTGCGAGAGGGCGTCAAGGTTAGCCTATCTACCATGTGACAGGACACCAACACTCCGCCTCACTGATGCAGTTTTGACTCAGGCTCCAAGAGTCAGGACAAGGACATTACTGACAATGCATGCCCTCTCAACGGAAGATGCCTTCAACCTTCATGGATGATATGCTTAGAAGCTATAAAGATGCCAATCTGGTGCACTACATTGGAGATTCATCTCGTCTGTCATCCTGTTCTTTGTGTGTCTAATATCCACCAACCTTGTCTTAGGAAGCCAGGCATAAGCATGGTCATTGTCAGCAGGTGTTCACACAGTTCTACCCCACCCAATCAGAGAAAGAAGCAACGAGGTGATCTGGGATGGCTAAGTTCCCCTTCACCTAACTTAGCCAATCTTGTCTTCAGCCTTGCTAGTAGAGTTCAGCCACTTAATACCCTAACTTGTATTTGGAATGGTCACTTAGGTGAGAGTCCTTCTGAGGCCATGAGAGAGGATCATGAGACAGCTGTAAAGAATAGGATCCCTGTTGATGTACAGTAAGGCGCAAACATGTGGCCAGAAATGATTGATCCAAGCATGATGCAGAGTTCTTACCCCTGTTAAGAACCTCTTTTCTTTCATCTAAGCACCCACCCAACTGTGCATGTCTTGCTTATTACCCCCTTGCTTCCTAGAATGTAGCTCCAAGGCTCTTAATCATCTGCTTTCCCATTTTGCAAGGCATTTCTCTCTGCTGTTTTCACCCACTTTATGAAGGTCATCACCTTGATTATCACTGTCCAAATGTATGAGTGCCAGACCTGCCCCCGTACATTTAAGTGTGAGACATGCCCAAGAGTCTTCAAGTCTCAGAATGCAGCAGATCAGCATATGAACGCACTTAGGCATTGGAGACCGAAAGTTCCATGTGAGACATGTGGAAAAATGTTCCACACACAAAACGCAGCAGACCAGCATATGAGAGCCCTTGGTCACTACAAGAACTACTGTGATGATTGCCATTTGGCATTTCAAAATGAGAATAATCTGCGAATGGTAAGGTTTCTTACATATAACCCTTCAGAGCAAAAATACTGACACACCTGCTGGTAGCACCTCCGCTCCAAAATTCACCACGGCATAAATATACCCTGCCCCTATTGTAGCGCCAAGTACACCTCTGCCAGCGGTGTTGCCCACCACCTTGAGATGGGTTGCTGCCCTTGCGCCCCTGAGTTTATAACCGTGAAACCATCTACCGCGCCATTTGTAAGCGTGACCCACATGGAGTCATTACCAACAAGGAGATTGAATGGTATGAGGAGGGAAATGTCGCATACTTGGCTACCGACCGTGCATTCAATGGCTTATTCTGGGAGTGTTACATATGCCACAAAAAGTTCAACACCAAGGGTGCCCTGAATGCCCATGTCAACTCACCTGTACACAAGCAAAGGATATATCATTGCCCAAATTCAAAGGGTAAATGTGGAAGGCAGTTCCAAACGGTCGCTGGGCTGTTTAACCACATAGAGAGTGAGACATGTGCCTTCATGAGGTTTGAAAAGGTACAGCGGCAAGTGACAGGTGTGCTCAAGGGACACAGACTCATCGCATTCCCAAGGTGATTGGATTGTTGGAGACATTACTCATATGGGGATTGGCGCATATGGATGCAAAATACTCTCGCGAAATTGTCCCAGCATTCCCCGATGGCACAGCTAGGAGATCTTATTCATACAGGCTATTGTCAAATGGCAATGCACCCTTAGTAGGAATAGCATATCCACTCGCTGTCAGAGCTGTTTGAATGTGATCTGCACACAACTTGGCACTGTCATTTATGGCAACGTTGCGGGCAATCTCCACAACATTCTTGATCTGGTTTGGTCATTGCATTGGCATGTTCCCTGTCCTGTGATGTTGAATACTTACCTGACGACCATTTAGACTGATTTCAGCAAATGTGCTAAGCTCTTCTTCCTTAACATCTGCCTTTGCTTCACTAAGAAAGTGGTTGAAAATACCCCAATGGACGGAGGAATCCAAATTATCATACCGGAGCTTTAGGTGGGTTCGATCAAGAATGGAAACATCAAAGTTGGTAAGAAGATTCGTCTTGAGGAAGAAAATTCCATTATAGTATTCAAGCGTGCGAAGGAATGTAGCGACAAGGTGGTTCCGTCCCAGCTGCAGACTATCTCGCTGTTGTAGGTATACATCGGCCTCCTTGAGGAAGAGGACCGCCTTCCAGTCACTAACAATGCGAAAGGTACGAGTGAGCTGGACTTCCAGCTCCTCAGCACGTGTACTTAAATCCCCAGAGGAGATCTAAAAATGGTTAGGAGACGAGTATTGTTCCAGGTAAAAAAACATACTGGGTGGCCGTTTAATTCGTTCCGCGATGGCTTTAAGCGTCTTCCCCACTCCTGGAGGGCCGCTGTCACGTGTTCAGCATGCTTCATATACAACAGGCAAAGAAGAAACATACTGCAAAAGTATGATGACACCCTGCCCCTGCTTCATTTGTCGCGCTGACACGGCTCTCGGTGAGAGATTTGATGACCTTTTCTTATCCCCGGGGATAATTAACATGTCAAAAGGGGACTCTGTGAATCTGATCTCCTCAACGTTCTCGACAGCAAATTCCCTTAGACCAGCACTTAGCCCAAGCTCAACACTGTCCCATTGGTATGAACGCTCATCCCAAAGTTTTTTGTCCAGGCAAAAGCCAAGCACTGTTGGACTGCATATGGCCAGGTCATCATGCATCTCCCTCCGATCCATGCCATTGCTCTGGATAGATTTGTGGTTTTGACTGGTTTCACAACGCATGCTAGGCTATATAAAGAATTCACATGGTGTCTTTGGTCAATCGAGTATCCTTCTCCATGCCGTTGTGCTCTTCCTTGGCAGACTACTTGCCTGTGTTACGTTTCCGGAGACTCGCCTGGGCTGCTTGGGACATGAGCTCCTTCTCAACAGGGGAGAGCTTTTCGATAGCATCTTGTGTCTCCAGAGCTGTCTGCAGAGCTCTCTTCAGCTCTTCGCCTTGTTCTGCAGAGGGTACAGCTCCCTTCGCAACGCCAATTTGGATTTCGCCAATCGAAGCTCTTTTGATAAATTCGGGTGCATCTTCGATGGGAACATGGTTTTAATAATAGCTGAGGATTGAAGCGAAGCTATCGCGAGCCCTC